GGAGTTGCTGAAGGCGGCTCTGAGAGGTGCTGCGATGCTCGCATCGTTGCGTTGGACGATGGTGAGAATAGCCAGGCTCCAGGGAGGAAACCGCCACGGCGTCGACGACCTGCTCTGCCTGAGGATACACCGTGCACAGTGGCGGACCACACGACACGGCCTGGGCTTCAGATTGTCACCGTCAATGCTAACTCGTATGGGACGCTGATGCGTTATCTCAACACGGCGGACGCGGACATCGTGCTCGCCCAGGAGACACATGCGATCGACACCAAGCTCCCAGAGGTGCAGGCTGATGCTCTGGACATGGGCTGGCGTGGACAATGGCTGGCGGCTACCCCTACCCCAGATGGAGGTTCGGAGGGTGGAGTGGCAGTTCTCGCGCGCACGAGCATCCAGGTAACTACGGCACCTTTTCTCGCGGCAGGGGAAATTGTTCCAGGGCGCGCTGTTGCTGGAGTGGTGCATGCAGGACCCGCTGGCGGACTGGTTTGCATTTCGCTGTATCTGTTCACTGGCGAGGGCCGCACGCCACGTAACCTCGCCATCGTATGGGAAGTTTGTAAATACGTCAGGAGGGTGTCTGATGCAGGGTACCCGTGGCTCATCGCTGGAGACTATAACATGACGCCCGACGAGTTGTTAGAACACAACTGGCTGCACTTGGTGAAGGGAGTGCGTTGTGCTCCGTCCAGTCCCACCTGCGTGCAAGCCCTTCCTGGGCGAGCGCTGGACTATTTAATCCTCCATCGGTCCCTCACTGATGCGACGGCGTTCTCTCTGGACGTGCTGGTGGATGCGAGTCTTTGGCCTCGCCAGCCGGTCCAGCTACAGCTGCCTCATGACAAGCTAGCCCTGCAGAAGCGAGTCCTGAAGTTTCCTCCCCTCAAGCCTGGATGCGCTCGCTACCCCTGGAGTTGGGAGAGGGCCATCGCGGATGTACAGCAGGTGCAGAGCGGTGGGCAGTTAGCCGCAGTCTGGGACCTCATGCTCGATGGCATTGAATGGGAGCTCGCCAATCGACATGACCTTGTGGGTCGACAGAGAGCCGCTCACCTCGGCCGTGCGGGACCCCCTGAGTTGCGCCACCTACCAGTTGCCTGGACACCTGCACGTCGGCGCGAGCGCTTTGGCAGGACAGCTTCTGCTTGGGCGGTAGCCGCGCGGTGGGCGAAGCACCTTCAGTCTGTCCGTCAGGTCTTGTTGCGGGACATCGGGGTGCTGAATGCCACGGCAGGGAACGCCGAGGCCGACCCCAAGTTGCTCCAGCGCGTGGGCCAACTCTTGCATGAGGCAGAGGCGTGCGCTCGCAAGCTCCTGCGGCAACATGATCTTCTTGATTTACTTGATGATGAGGCGCGCGTTTTCTTCGCCACCGGTTTGGAGGGGCTGGCGCTCGACACCTTTGAGGAGCAGGTGGGCCGCGTCAGTGCGACAAGCGACGTGCACAGCAATGCAGCAGAGGCGAAGGCCACGGCGGCTTGGCAAGAGTGGGCGAAGGCTTCTTTTCAAGGAGGTGCAGGGCTCGCCCACATATTCACTAAGGTGAAGATGGAAGTGGAAGTGCCCACTGCTGGCAGTTCGTGCCAGCCCACTGCCCTGGCCGATGCTGAGCTTGACGTGTGGGCAGGTATTTGGCAGCATCACCAGCTCCGTGAGGTCGACCTCCCCGCAGGTGCCGAGAACTGGGATGACCTCGAGCCAGTCACGGTGGCCAAGTTGCGCGAGGTGCTGTACACCTTCCCTGTCAAGACGGCGGTGGGGCAGTCTGGCCTTCACCCCAGGCAGCTGGACCAGTTGTCCGACATGGCCCTGCTCACAGTCTCTTTGGTGGTCACTCTTTGCGAGCAAAGGCTGCATTGGCCTCCTAATAGACTGGCTACGATCCTCGTGCGCTTGCCTAAGCCCAGCGGTGGAACCCGACTTATTGGCCTGCTAAACTCCCTGCTGCGAGTTTGGAGCCGAGCGCGGCGCCCGATTTCCGCGGACTGGAGTAAGACACATCGGAGCGCGCACAACTGGGGCTCGGGGGCGGGCCGAAGCTCATCGTCATCTGCTTTCTGTTTGGCGCTGAATATCGAGATCGATGTGGCTCACGGAAAGAAAACGCTCACACTGCTGATCGACATTTGGAAATGTTTTGAGCTTATCGACCCCAGCGTCCTGCTGCGAGAGGCCGCCGTGGTCGGCTACCCGTTGAGGATGGCCTGGGTGCTCATTCAGGCATATCGCCAGCCACGCACTCTGCGAGCGCACGGTAGTGAGTCGAGGTTCTTTGTCTCCGAGCAGGGCATCGTGGCAGGATGCTCACATGCGACGACAGTGCTGGAGCTCCTCCCCTATAGGTCCATGCGCAGGCTCTCGGCGATCTGCCCCAATGTGACGCCTCACCAGCTGGTTGACGACACGTCGCTGCGATGGAGTGGAGTTGGGGCGCAGTGTGCAGAGGAGGTGGCCCTTGCAGCCGACGAAGCACAGGAGGCGCTCACTGGCCTTCGCTTGCCAGTGCAGGTGAAGAAGCTGGGCTATGTCGCCTCGGGCGTGGCCACAGAGCGCGCGGTGCAGCGGGTCACTCAGCAGCGCCAGATCGCACGCCAGCGTCGGATGCGAAACCTCGGGCACGAGCTCACGACGGTGCGGCCTTCGCGGCAGCAGGAGCAGGCGCGGTTGAGCGCGCTGCGAACTCGTGTACGACGGCTCCATATCCTTAAACGTGCTGCTGGAGTCCGACGGATGACACGGATCCAGAGCACAGGCCTCACACCCTCCGTGTTTCACGGTGCGGCGGTCATGGGTGTGGCCGAGCATGTCCTGAAGCTTGCGCGCACGCTTGCGGGTGCCTTAGCGGGCGTGAAGGCTGCGGCTTCTTTGACGACGGGCCTGGTGATGCAGCGCAACCCGCGATACGATCCCAGCTTTGTTGCCACCTTGGGGCTGCCCTACCTCTACGCGTCGTGGCTGTGGGAGGCGAAGGTGTCCATCACGCAGCTCCAGCACGCCTGGGAGGTGATGGTGACTCGTATGAAGAAGGCCGAGGCATGGTCCAAAGTCACGGGCCCGCTCTCGGCATTGTGGATGACGCTTCGACGAGTTGACTGGTCTATGCGATCGGCACATGAAGTTATCACCGACGAGAATGTGTATTTCTCTCGACTGGCGGTGGCACCTCGCGATTTCCGAGACCTGCTGGAAGCTGGAGTGCAACGGTGGCAGATGCGGCGTGTGCAGCAGCATCTCCCAGGCTACGACGGCGAGATCCTTTGGTATCGTGCAGTTCGTGCGTGCACGCATGGGCCTCGAGCCGTGCGAGACTCGGCGGAGCTGGGAGCTCTGCAGTGCCTGTGGACAGGCGCCATGTGGCCACGAGAGAGAAAGTTCTGCCATGGCTTTGTTTGGTCGCCTAATTGCCTCGCTTGTTCGGCCAAGAAACCTGAGACCCTCGGGCATCGTTGGCTTGACTGCCCCGCGCTGCTTGAGGGTACGGAGGCGGACCCGTTGGACGATGACACGCGTGAGCACAAGCGTAGGGTCGCTACGCGTGAGCTGATGCGTAAGGAGGTGCTTGAGTCCGCTGACCCCACGTTCTCTGATTCGGTCCAGCACGCTTTCGCGTTGCCGCTGGTCCCACCTAGCTCGGAGAGACCCGACATAACTCCTGAGCAGTATTTTGAATGGGGTGATCCTGAGGTTCCCTGGGAAGGCACGGTCTACACGGATGAGGCTGGCCAGGATATGCAAGCTCCCGAGGTCGCGCGGTGTGCCTGGGCGATTATCCAGCTTGATTCCCAGGGCCGCCCGTCCAAGGCCAGGTTTGGAAGCCTCCCACGGATCCAGTCGGTGCCCAGAGCTGCCAGGTATGCTGGATACCTGGCCATTATTGCTTCGCGGCGTGTAACTAGAATCGTAAGTGATCACCTTTCCCTGGTCCAAGAGGGCGAGCGGTGGAGCGAGAGCGAGGTGTCGGCCGCTGCTCGCCACGCTGAGATTTGGCGAGCCATAAGAGCCACGGTTGAGCGGCAGGCCCGCCCCCCGCCCCGCTTCGCCTGGACCCCGTCTCACAAAACGGCCGAAGAGGCGCTTAGTCGTGGGGTGGGGGTGATGGCTTGGTTGGGGAACGCGTGGGCTGATTTCTTTGCCACTGTTGCGTTGCATGTTGTCACGCTCAGCCCTAATTTCGGTAAAGGCCTGGAGCTGCGCCTCGCCGAAGCTGTTAATCGTGCCAGGTTTGCGGCTTGGGCTGGCAAGCGAGTGCTGAGCTCAGGACGGTGGGATGGCCCCAAGGACGAGCCCCGTGCCCGTAAACCCCCGCCAAAGCCGCCCAGCCTTGCCATTGTTTCTCATGATCTGGCGCCCGATGGCAAGGGTTTCAGATGCAGGAATTGCAACCGAGCGGGGTTTTCGGAAGAGACGATCCGCGGTCTGCTGACCCGCCCCTGTCGGCCTTCCACCCTGCTCCGTGCTCGAGCTGCGGCCCTTTTGGCGGTGCACAGCCCATCCAGAGCCGAGGAGAATCCTGCTCCCCCCTCGGCTCCGTCGGCCCTTGCCCTGGGTCTGGCGGCCGCGGCAGCTTGTGCTGCGACGGCGCGTCGCGACGACTCCAGCGCTTCGCAGGGCCGGCCTGAGCGAGGGCGCGAAGATAGCAGGTCTCCCCGATTCGAGGCGCGTGCTGCCCCTGCTGTGCGCTCGGCCACGGCGAGAGATGGAGGCGGCGGGGGCCCGTCGTCGTCGTCGTCGGAGAGGCGGAGGATGGATTCGACCGAGGAGCGACGAGCCGCGCTCACGGCTCGCCTCCTCAGAGCTGCGGGAGGCACACCTGCTGCTCCTGCCTCTGCCGCCTCGCCTCCTCCTCCTGCGCCCCCCTCGGGGGGATTGCTGGAGGCCCCCCCTGGAGGAGACGAGCGAGGGGGCTGGGAGGGCGGGGGATCGTGCGATGCGAACTCGTACGATTCGCCCTGCCGCTGGCCCCTCGCCTTTGACGGCGCCTGGAGCGGCGCAGCCTG